CGGCCATGCTAACGGGTTTTTTCGACGCGTTTTAGAAAATTGCAAATCTTCTCCTAGTAGCTTTGCATGCGTGCATGGGCACTTTTGCGGCAGCAGGCATCATCCCGGCTTACCAAACGTAGGTTCAACTGGAGCCTTCGCATTGCCCTTAAAATACTGACCACAAGACCAGAATTGCAACTGATTTCGGTGTTTCGGTGAACGACGCGAGTTATTTGACCTCCATCCAGATTGCAGTCCTGGGTGTAGCACCAATTTTTTGGAAACCGCTGTCCAACCGCTGGGGACGTCGCCCTATCTTCCTCCTTTCCTTAATCTGCAGTCTCGTCTGTAACGTAGGATGTGCGGAAAGCACTAGTTACGCGTCCACGGCTGTATGTCGGGCTCTGCAGGCTTTCTTCATTTCCCCTGCTTCAGGTAAGACGCAATGCTTCCCCCATCGTGACAAGGTGTGCTAACGGCTGCGGAAGCGATCGGAAGTGCGGTGGTGATGGAGACGACATTCAAGAAAGACCGAGCTCGGTACATGGGTATATGGACGCTATTGATTACGCTGGGAATCCCCAGCGGGCCCTTCATCTTTGGCTTCGTTACGTATCGGCTGGGCTACCAATGGATTTACTGGATCTTGGCAATTGTAAGTGTTCCCATAACCCGATCGGGTTACTGGTCCAACGATGGAAGAGTCTTCCGCTGACCTAATTCGAACATTCAGATCAACGGTGTCCAGTTCATCTTGTATCTTTTCCTGGGTCCTGAGACCCGGTACATTGGAGGTGACCATGACCCCGAGCAACCTGCTTGGGTACGGGAATATGCTCAACTCCGACGCATTGACCCTACGCCCTTGTCGTTCAAGGAGTTCTTCAGACCCCTGGGCATGGTCACGCATCCTTGTATTGCCATTCCCACTGCCGCATACGCCATGGTGTTCTGTCTGGGCAATGTAATGACAACTGTGGAAGTCCCCAGTTTGCTGCAGACCAAATTTGATTTGAATGCTGAACAGCTAGGACTCCAATTCCTAGGTCCTATCATCGGATCTCTTTTGGGTGAGCAGCTTGGTGGTTTGTTGTCGGACCGCTGGATGAATTTGCGTGCAAAGAAAATTCACCGCAAGCCGGAACCCGAATACCGCCTGTGGCTCAGTTACATCGGCTTCGTCCTGTGTATTGTGGGCTTGATCGTATTCCTTGTCTGCACCCAGGAGTCGACGGAGGGTCACTGGAACGTAAAGCCGGTCGTCGGCATTGCCATCTGCGCTGGTGGCAACCAAATCGTAACGACTGTTCTTGTCACGTATGCAGTGGATTGTTACCACAAGGAAGCCGGCAGTGTCGGAGTATACATCACGTTTGTCCGACAAATTTGGGGATTCCTCGGACCGTTCTGGTAAGTATCGGATGCATCTCTGTGCTGGTCACATATGGGCAAATGCTAATTGGTGTCGCTTAGGTTCCCATCCATGTTTGAGAGTGTTGGTGTAGCACCGAGTGCTGGCATTTGTGCGGCACTTGTTGCGGGTGTCAGTATCATTCCGACTATGATCGTACACTGGCAAGGACGGAGCTGGCGTCCGCCCATTGAGTAAACCGATGACACGAATCCCTTTCCATCCTCATTTGCGTTGTTCCTCCTTTAATTCCAACTTTGCATATATCTTTTTCTTCAGAGTCGATTTGGCGTGTTGCTTTCGGAGACGACCTTGGCGACCATAGACCTTCTACATGTCAGATATAGATGGCGAGCATGTATATAGACATATAACGATATGAGCGTGCACAGCAGCGAAGCAAACAAAGACACAACATATGAATCTGAAACCTCGATCGAAGTGAACAAGAATTGAATACAACCAAAAGAAAAGATAATCGGCAGAAGTATAGTATAATATAGAAGTATAGAAAAAGAAGACCTCAAGCGAAAGGGAAAAAAGAAAAAGGAACCAAAGAACCCAGGGGATTAAGAGTTTATCCCTCCTAGGTCCCGCCGTAGTTATATACTCACTCCGAAAGAGGTAGGAATGGGAATGGAACTAAACCCACATTGAAAAAATTTCGACATAACTTTCCTATTAGTAGTAGATAACTAGCTATTCGATGGATCACGGCAATTTCGATTCGAGAGCTGCCAAAGCGATTCCCCCCGAAAAAGTGGCCCGTCCGATACTATGGTTTGATAGTATCGGCAAAGCGAATGGGGGAATGTAAATGAATAGCACCCGTAGTAGTGTGGTTGTTGCTGCTAGTGTCAGACCACGCCTACATTGTGCAGTTACTGGCCCGATCGGCTGGCCCGATGTCCGCCGATGTTAGCTGCTATCGGGAAGGATTCACGGCGTCCGGTTCGCTACTTGCGCCTTTACGGAATGCTTGCACGGGATTTATTATTGCATTGCCGGGATGTCTTTATTTTTTATCACTCGTTTATTTCGATAAATTATGTTATTGCTATTGTAGACATACAAATCTATACATTTACTGATCTACCAGCTGTCAGGAAGAATTCAGCACATGGCCCGATTACTTGGCTTTCTCAAGCTACTACTTGCTGAGTGGCCAGCAATGCAAGGTTACTCCCGGAAGTTAACCACAAAACTCCGGTTCGGACTGGTCACGCAGTCGCTCGGCATAGTAGCGGAATTGATTTACTCCGCTAGGATAAGATTTTATCCTCTCCTGCAGATGTTGACTGATTTTGTGTATGTGAATCGGCAATTCGTGGTGCAGTCTTTGAGTAGCTTGCATTCTGAGGACGAGTTTCGTTTATCCATCCCATGCAGTGATGGTAGTGAAGGGATGGGTAAGGAGTTACACGGGGAAGGAGATTACGTGGATTATTTTACGGATTTTTGTTGTTGCTTCCAGGACGGTTTCTGGCTCTTTAAGGATTGGTGATTAAGTGCCTGAGGCTTTTACTTATAATTGGTGTGCTGGGATCAGGCTTAACTCTTTCCTCCTTGTCAGCTGCCTTCTTCTCCTTGCTTCTGTCCTGGCTTCCGGCCTGCAGCAGCTAGCTGCAAATGCATGAGTGCTAGGCAAAAGCTTGAAAGTGGCTGATTGTGGGGACCTTAGTCAGCGTGGGGTGTGGATGTGGGTGGGAGGCAAACCACCCACATCTGTTGAGTCGGAGGATTATGGCGACAATGTAATGACTCCTTGCATCATAAAACTTGTCACCTGGCTTCATTATAGTTACGCATGTAAATATGCATTGGAACAATGAACCTGTTCATTGGTATCCGTACAGTATATACATCTCTATGCTATTCTTGTATAGTAGTATGTCTCATCATAATCCGTAAATCCCCACCCGTCTCATAGTACCATTATCATAGTGTTCATGCCTGGTTCTCAATCTTCGTGATGAGAGTGCCGACGTGAGGCTGCAGCTCGACGGCGAACTCGTCGCCGTGCTTGAAGAACTCCTTGGGGTTCTTGGCGGCGCCAACACCGGGGGGAGTACCGGTGAGGATGATAGTACCGGCAGGCAGGGTGGTGCCCTGGGACAGGAAGCTGACGAGCTGGGGCACGTTGAAGATCAGGTCACTGTTCAAAGTTGCTGGTCAGCTTTTGTTCTTGATACACACTATTTGAATGGTAAAAGGGGAAGACATACGTCAAGGGGCAATCCTGAAGGACCTTTCCGTTCTTCGATCCACGAATGTGGAACTTGCTGGCATCGGGAACCTGGGCAGCGGAAACGAGGACGGGACCTGCGAAAGTTCATCCATCAGCACGAAAAGCAATATCACCTTTATAATAGGCAAACTGTACCGATGGGGCAGGAGGTGTCGAAGCCCTTAGAGAAGCACCATTGGCTCTGGTTCATCTGGTAGGTGCGGCTAGAAATATCGTTGGCCGCGGTATATCCGAGCACGTAGTCGAGGGCCTCGGCCTCGCTGACATCCTTCGCATCACGACCGATCACAATGACCATCTCCGACTCGTAGTCACCCGTGTTGTCGATCTGGGTGAGCTTGGGCAGAACGGTCGGGGCGGGCCAGGGGTCCGACAGGGCAGTCGAGGGCTTCATGAACAGAGTGGGAACATCGGGGATAGACAGCTTCATCTCAGCGGCGTGGGAGACATACTGCGCGATCGGTTAGTTTCTTGCGCCTCCGCTGGACAGCTATGCTGCGATCAATGTTGAACCTACGTTCAGTCCAATGCATCTGATGGAGCCGACTTCGCTCTGCGCCAGAGGCGAGAGAACGCGCTCAATGGTCTCGGTCGAGTCGGTCTTCTGGCCGGGGCTGAGGACGGAGCTACCGGAGAAAGGGCGCACAGCGACATCCTTGCCCTGGTAGACGGCCAATCCAACATCCACGGCGGCGTCGACGGGCTCACCGATCAGAACCTTAGAAGGGTTCGACTTGGGGACGAAGCGCACGAGGCCTAGATGGCGTTAGCAACACAGCTGCAGAAGCAAGGTCGTGTCCACATACGCGAGAAGGTAGATGCGACCTTGGACATGATGAGTTTTTGTGAAGAGGAAGGAGGGATTGATGAACAACAGAAATGCAAGTCAGGGAGCAGGGATCAATTGAGGCGCTGTCTCTTTTGAAGTACGCTCACGGGATATTTCTACCCCGATATCGTCGCGGGGTGCAGTTCTGGTGGCCGGCCGGGAAGCTCAATGCGCGCGGGGTGGGGGGGGCAAGCAAAGTGGGAGGGGCAATCCCTCAACTACCTTTGCCGGTGGGAACCGACCCGTTTCTCAGCAGCCAGTCCGCATTCGACTTCCTTCGCAGGAACCAAACACTTGCTCCCCTCCAGGACTTGACTTCAACGCTTTCGATTTCCGAGCGTCGGGCGAAAGCCGGCGGCGAATACGCTAAACAGCCCACTTCCCCACGACAACGTGGGGATGTCGCCCGCGGCTTGTCGTGCCGGTTGAACTGCGAAATCGCATGCTCTCCGTTTAAAAGCGAACAGTGTCGCAGTCGTCGAGTCTGTTTCAAGTCATTCAGAAAACTACTCTGCACATAACCTGTCACAATGTCTGCTCCCAAGGGACCCTTCAAGCTCGTCACTGTCAACACCGCTCCTGAGAGAGCCAAGCGCCTCATCGGACGGGTTGCTGAGGCCCTTTCGGACCGTTACACCATCATCCACATTGACAACTGCGAGAGTAAGTACCTGTGACTTTGAAGTCCTTTGCGGGACTTAGTGATGGTTGATACTAACTGAACTTGCGAACAGAGATCGAGGAAGTCGAGTCCAAGGTCAAGCAGCACATGCCCGATGTCCTGGTACGTTCTCTTCATTCGAGCTTCCTCTACAATGCGGGGTAAAGCGACTACGGTTATGATGGCTCGTGTCTAACTTCCTCTGCAGTTCAGCGCCTCCATGTGGTCCGCCGAGCAGGCCAACGAGATCCACTCCATTGCCCGGTCGATCAAGCCCGACATCAAGCTGCACGCTATCCCCGAGGGTCTCCAGGTCGAGCGCGGCCCCGACGCCATTGTTGAATACCTTTGCGAGAAGGTGCCTCCTCTTCTGGACGCCTAAATATGAGGTGTCAGTGTACCAATTTTAGGAATGAGCGGGGGATATCATGGTGGATATGACGACGATATCTATGTCTTGTATATACATTTACTTCGATGAAGCTCCTGAAATAGACGATTTACGATTCGAGTGTTGATAAGTGAAAGGAGAACCACCCTGGAGCGCGCATTTAGACATGACAAGTACATCTGTGGGACAACGGGGCTGTCTCACAGACTTCTGTGAACTTCAGCTAAATCAGTGTGACCTGGAAGTAGCGGAGTCAAGCTGGCGTGTGCAGTATGAAGATGGGCTCCTGCCAAATGTGTTGTTCTGACAGAAGAACCAAATCAGCCGTGATCACCATCTCAGTTTGCAGATCGTCGTCCCGGATTCAATTTCCCGGCTGTTTTCGCGTCGTACGATCATTTAGAGGCCTAAGCGTAAGTAGGGAGTGCGCTGTTGCAGCGAGACACTCCGACTTATATCCGAGGTGAGGGGTTCAGCATAAATCCATCATTGTTTGGTGAATGAATTGGACAAATCCGACGGTAGTAGAGAGTGATGATGTAATTTATCGATATATATTTTGACCCGAGATCAGATAAGATCCAAGTACTCAAGCCCCTACAAACCACTACCACAATCACTCCATCATCAATGCAATACCGGCAATACAACGTAGCACAAACCAAACCCATCCCCAAAGCAAAAAGCAAACGACAATCCAACTCCGAAATATGTACCCCTGTCAAGCCAAGACATCCGGATATTGCTGCACGACAATCCCATTAAGCCGACGGGACAACGGCAAAACCACCTCCCCAGCTGCTTAGTCATATCCCCAAGGCAGCTGCTGATCTTCAATGCTTAAATGCACCAAACTCAAGATAAACCCTCAGATCAATCGCAGTTCTCAGATAGCATCGTCATCACCATCATACTCGCCACTCATAATCATGCTCCAACCAATCCGTACGACCTTTCGAAGCGCCGCCCAGGGCGCCCGCTTATTCTCCACATCACGAGGCCTCCGAACAGACCTGTCCTACCAGGTGTTTGGGCCCGAGAAAGCCGATGTTATTGATCGGAGTCCTATCATCTTCCTTCATGGGCTGTTCGGCTCGAAGCAGAATAACCGGGGTATTAGCAAGTAAGCATTTTCTTTGTCAAATCAATTGTCCCCAGAGGATAAATATCCAGTGAAAAGGAAGGCTACTAACCACGATGCAGAGCACTGGCACGTGATCTGAAACGTGAGATCTTCACAGTGGTGTGTAACCAGTTATGAAGAAGAAGAATTTGGAATATAAACAGTGATTCATATTTGTGTTTGTTCTCCAGGACCTTCGCAACCATGGCCAATCTTTCCATGCACAAGAACACAACTACTCCGTCATGGCCGAAGACGTGATCAAGTTCATCCAGCAGCTGAAGCTAGATAAGGCCGTTCTGATCGGCCACTCGATGTACGTCATATCCTACTACATATGCCTCTGATACTCCACACGCATTCTGCAGAATGCATATGAAGACAAACAAAACAAGACAGCTAAACTAATGGATAATAACAACCAGGGGCGCCAAAACCGCCATGACAGTTGCCCTCGATTCACCCAAGCTAGTCTCGGCTCTTGTACCGGTTGACAACGCCCCCGTGAATGCACCCCTGAAGAGCGATTTCGGCCTCTACGTTCGTGGCATGCAGCATGTCGAGGCTGCTAACGTGACGAAGCAATCCGAGGCTGATGAAATTCTTAAGGGGTATGAGGAGGTGAGTATTGAGTAGTGAATGAATGCAAACTGAGCTCATTGTGTGCACATAACAATCAACTAAACTAATATGTGACAGTCCCTCCCCATCCGCCAATTCCTCCTCACCAACCTGGTCCGCTCGACGGAAGATCAAACCATGAAATTCCGTGTCCCGCTTGCCGTCCTCGGCGAAGCCATCCCTGGTATGGCTGACTTCCCGTACCGGGAGCCTGGATCTGTCTCGTATGAGGGCCCTACGCTGTTTGTGAGGGGCACGAAGAGCAGATATGTGAGCGATGAGTCGGTGCCGACGATTAAGAAGTTCTTCCCCAATGCTAGCGTTGCGGATGTGGAGGCTGGGCATTGGTTGATTTCGGAGAATCCGGAAGGGTTCAGGCAAGGTGAGTAGTAATATTCGGTTATATCCATCTATCTGGTTGAGTAAGATGGTTTGCTAATGTGTGCGCTTTTTGCATAACAGCTGTTCTGAAGTTCCTTCAGGAGGCTCCTTGATTGATTGCTACAGTCATGCTTGGTTTGATGGTTGGATGTATAGACAGACAAGACAGAACTGACTCAGACTCCACTTGTACATTCTTGCTTATGTGCAGGTCCCTTTTTCCCCTACCTCCGTGACCTTGAAAAGAAAGAAAAGCCTATTGAACAGAAGAAAGTAAGAGAGGTCTGGGCTTACAGCGCCCAGGACCACAAAAGAGTGGAGGAGAAAACAAAGAAAAAGAATTATTGACAAAGGGGATATCCAGCATAATTGAAACCAACTTTTCCTTCTTTCTTCAGACTAACGACTGATTCATGACATTCGTAATCTCGTGATGTGTACTGCCTCAAAATGCTCCCTCCAGGGGGTCAACTTTCAGCCTTATACACCTAACCCCCCTCCCTTCAGTCAATCGTTATTATGTTGCCTGAAGCCTGCGGTCCTTTATTCTTTTGTAATTTCCGCTTCTTCCCCTTCTTTTTCTTGCTTTTCCTGTCGTTTGATGGCCCGGCGTCTCCTCCTGCAGCAGAGCCTGCAGCATTGGAATTCGGTGATTCGGGCCGACTTAAGCTGGAACGATCTTCGTCGGATGCATTATTAGATGTAACAGGCCGTTTTCTCTTCCTCTCTTTTAGGGCGCGCGCTGGGGTTGTTTCAGCCATGCTCATGAACCTGGCGACCTCGGAATCCTGATCGTTGGCTTCATCCTCATCTTTCATTGCATCGGGATTGTCTTCTTGCTGAGGGGGCGCTTCTAGTTGTGGGGGTTGCTGGCTGCTCTCGACCAGTTTCATTAGGCCATCCACCCTTTCAGTTAGACCTGTAAGATTCTTCGACGTCGAGCCTTCCAGAAGTTTATGTTCTTCCACAACAGTCTGATATTTTTCGAGCGTGGAGGTTTCAAGTTGACAAACACGGTCAAGTACTGCTTTGAGCTCGTCTGGACAGGCTTTCAACACCTTCAAGTCGTCTTCATTGCTCGATTGGATCTCACAAAGTTTCTTTGCGAGGTCTTCTTGAGCTTCGACAAGAGCTTTAAGTTGATCGTGTTCCTCCTGGGTTTTGACGAGTCTCCCAGCCAATGTTTTCTGTTCATCAATCAGGGACTTGATTTGCCTCCGTATCTTGTCTTGTTGAGAATCAGAGAATTTATCGAGTAGCTTCTTCTGTTCATCTGCCAGAGCCCTGACCTGATCTTGCAGGCCCTCCTCCCGATATACAGACAGACTTTTTGCCAGGTTTTCCTGCTTATCGGCTAGCTCCTTAACTTGGTTTCTCCAATCGTCATTCTGCGAGTTGCTGAAACCCTTCATGAACTCCTCCTGTTTCACGGCAAGGGCTCGGACTTGATCCGGTAGATCATTGGCCTTCTGGAATTCGGAACATAATTTCTCAAGTTCCGTTTGCCTTTCGGCAATGGCGTGGAGCTGCATGTGCAGGTTGTTTCTGCCCGTTGTTAGGTCGTCGTGGAGCAGTTGATCCTTTGCCTCGCGCGACTCCACGTATCCGTCGAGTTTGTTCGTATGTTCATCAATCTTTGCCGCCAGAGATGTCAGATCATTCTGCATTTGCCGCAGATCATCAGCGGTGAGCCAACGGTTCTGGTTTTGAGCGGTAAGTCGCTCCCAGACCGGTGCGAGCGACTGGGAGAGGTTGGTCTGCTGGCCCCTCAGGCGATTGATCTCTTCCATTCTCAAAGCCATGTCTTTCTGTGTCTGTTCCACCAAATTCACCTGATGGACGTGCAGACGTTCCGTTATCGCTTTCAAAGGAGGAACATCCCGCTCAAACCATGCTCTAATAAGATTTATTTGTTCTGTCAGCTGCGCGGTTGATGGGTACATCTCTTGCATAGCCACCACCATGTGTTTCACAATGGTATCCGTAGATAGATTGTTGTACCGAGTTTCGAGGGAATGTAATGCAACTCTCAAAGTTTCAACCATATTTTGCATGTTCATAAGTCCGGACGCAATCCCTTGAATATGCGCCTGAACCCCAGCGGGGTTTGCTACTGCTTGAGCTTGGCTCAGGCCTTTCAGCTCCTCACTGACCCGGGCATAGTCGCTCCTGATCTGTTCGAATTCTTGGGCGCCTCTATCCCACACCTTCTTGAGATCTTCGATTTCCTTGAATTGGAAGTCGTCTTTCATCTGTTGTATTGTTTGCAGTCCTTCGAGCTGATCTTCCATTTGTTTGATGCGACGCTTGTGCTGTCCCGAGAGTTCCGCTTCCAGCTTTTGTAATCGGGACGCCAGTTCTTCAGACATGGCTGAAGGCTCAGGCGCAGTTACTGCAGCAGGGGAGGGGAGCCGGTTATTCTTCTCTTCGACCGAAGTTAGGCGTGCAGTAAGCGATGTCAACGATCGTGTGTTCTCCATGCTCCGGGTGTCCTGTTGCCGGCGATGATCGTCCATACTCTTGTTCATCTTATTCAAATAATCGGAGCATTCACGTTGAGACTTCTGCAAGACTTCGATCTGCCTGGTCAAGTCCGAGGTCTGCTTCCTTAACTGATCCATCTGTGTCTTGGAAGCGGCCGAGTTGATTTCTTGCTCCTTCGATGCGAACGTGGTTTCCAGATCCGCGGTTATTTTGGTGACACGCTCCGCATTCTCTCTGGCAAGTTTCGCGTGATATGAGGTAGCCTTCTCAAGCGAGTTAACCCTATCTTGCAGGCTAATGAATGAGCCGACCTTGTCCTGCACTGCCGACATCTTGCCCTCCAGGTTGATGTTGTAGTCATGCAGCCTTATGATATCCTTCTTCGCATTTTGTACCTCACTTTGTAGTTGATTCACCCTGTTTAGGGGCTCCAGTGACATGATCGAGCTAAATTTGGCTTTCAAAGCATTCTCCAGGTCTCTGTAGTCGTTGGCATGCTTCTCGAGGGATTTATCAAGCTGAGCCAGATCAGCGTCCTCTTCCTCCTTGGACTGCTGGAAAAAGGCTGTAGTGGACGGAAAGCTAGAGTGAACTTTAGCTTTCCTAAGCAGGGCATCGGTGGCATCTCGCTTCTTCTTAAGCCTCTCCTGTTCGGATTTGCCGTTGGCAGCAATCACGGCGGCTTGGACCAGGTCGGAGATCCCACGTATAAATTGATCGGCAGTAGCATTTTGGGCATCGACGGGCGAGGAGCTTCCGACCGTCTGGGATCCAGGTCTGAAGCGCGTAGGGGAGGCGCTTGAAGTAGCATCCACAGAGGGAGGGCGGTTCAGGGGCGGCCTGGCTAAGGGCCTGGCGAGACGGGGGTCACGCGTAGCACCGGCGTCTGTATCCATATCACGACGTCACAAGAGTTCAGTTGGCCTGACAATCAAATCCAATTATTTGACAACATCCCATGTGCTTTGCGTAACGTAGATGAAGGAAGCCAGGAGGGGAAAATAATTAAATAAGGGGTGGGAGGAGGGGCTTGAGGTAAGACAAGTACACGATAGGTAGATAGAAAAGGTAAATGTGATTGATTGAATTCAAGCCCCAAATGGAAAAACGCCTACATTAACGTAATGAGTGGGAATGAAGACGGCGCGATGGCAACCGCGACATTGGCGAGACAACGGGGGAATAGAGAAGGTCGACAGGCCGAGTCCAGACACATATCATTCTCCTATTGTTGTTCTATATGTATACTTTGAGCGAAAGGTGAATGCGCAACTGTCAATGAGGGGACAAACGGAGATTTCCTGGCGCAATCAAACCAAACCCCGTTTGCGCTTAAAAAACACGCGCCGGCAGAAAAAACGGTCAATCGCTCTTTTTGCCGGGCGGCCTGCAAGGCGGCTTCCCGGCCAGCAGCTCTTTCGTCTGCTCTTCCACTCCGCGCTCTCTCAGGCTGGCCAGACCTCTCCATTTTTGGCTGCTTTCCTTGAACCTCGTGACTGTTTTCTGACCTGACAATATACTTACGATCTGCAAGTTGTCGCGATGGCTGCTGTAAGTTTCACTCCCGATAAAATGCGTGGTGTTTGTCACCGCTGACTCTCCGACAGCCAATTTCTACCGTCGCGGAGACCAAGGAGCTCCGGGGTCTCAACCTCATCGCTGCTCATTCACACATTCGAGGACTTGGTGTCGATGCAGACAGTCTACAGCCCAGGGCATCCTCCCAAGGGCTGGTGGGCCAGGAGAAGGCGAGGAAAGCTGCCGCCGTGATCCTGCAAATGGTCAAGGAAGGCAAGATTGCCGGTCGCGCGTTGCTGATTGCTGGCCCTCCCAGCACTGGTAAAACAGCCATCGCCATGGGTATGGCGCAATCCCTCGGATCCGATGTCCCCTTCACAATGCTCGCAGCGTCGGAGATCTTCTCCATGGAGATGTCCAAGACTGAGGCGCTCACACAAGCCTTCCGCAAATCGATTGGCGTTCGTATCAAGGAGGAGAGTGAGATCATCGAGGGTGAAGTGGTTGAAATTCAGATTGACCGCAGTGTTACTGGTGTAAGTGAGGTCTCGGGCGAGCTCTCAATGATGAGTTTCTGACATTAGTGATCTCTTAGGGAAACAAACAAGGCAAGCTCACCATCAAGACGACCGACATGGAAACGATCTACGACATGGGAACAAAGATGATCGACTCAATGACCAAAGAACGAGTGATGGCCGGTGACATTATCTCCATTGACAAATCTTCGGGCAAGATTACCAAGCTGGGACGTTCTTACGCTCGGTCGCGCGACTATGATGCGATGGGAGCTGACACAAAGTTTGTCCAATGCCCCGAGGGTGAACTCCAGGTTCGCAAGGAAATCGTGCACACAGTTAGCCTTCACGAGATCGATGTGATCAACTCGCGGTCACAAGGATTCTTGGCTCTCTTCTCTGGAGATACCGGTGAGATCAGGAGTGAAGTGAGGGATCAGATCAACACCAAGGTGGCGGAGTGGAAGGAAGAAGGAAAAGCCGAGATCATTCCGGGTGTTCTTTTCATTGATGAAGTGCACATGCTTGACATTGAATGCTTCTCTTACATCAACCGCGCTCTGGAGGCGGAACTGGCACCTATCGTCATCATGGCTAGCAACCGGGGCCACGCCCGGATTCGTGGTACGACATACAGCTCTCCGCACGGCCTGCCCCTTGATTTCCTCGACCGCGTGGTGATTGTCAGCACACAGCCCTACTCTGCCGATGAGATTAGGCAGATTCTGGCGATTCGCGCTCAAGAGGAAGAGATCGACCTTTCTCCGGACGCTCTGGCGCTGCTCACCAAGATCGGCCAGGAGTCGAATCTACGCTATGCCAGCAATATCATCACCACCTCTCACCTGCTCAGCCAGAAGCGCAAGGCGAAGGAGGTTAGCATTGATGACGTCCAGCGCAGTTACCGGTTGTTCTACGACCCTGCACGGAGTGTTAAGTTCGTCAGCACATACGAACAGCGTTTCATCGGCGATCAAGGTGCCGTCAGCTTCATTGCTCCTACGAACGGTGATGCGATGGAGCTTTCATAGTCCTCTCCGCCATGGAGATTTTCAATGACTCTTGGTGCGTGGGAAGCCTCTGCCATGATTAGACGGCACTGAGGCATGGATTGCAAGGCCTACGGAGGATCATTTCCCGTCTTTTATATTGTTCGGTTTTCGTTTACCAGATGAATTGCTTGGTGTATGATAATGCTGGCGCTTTTTCAAAACACATCTGCTGTGGGTACTGCGATATTTGGGTCTCAACTTTGAACAAAGAGCCTAGGCTCGAATGATAATGATGCAATTAATGTTTCCCAGCATATGGTATTCGTAAATGCCAGTAGACGTAAGTTTGTACGATGTTTATGCAAATGTTGCTTCTTTCTGCCACTGACCGGTGTCTGTCCTTCGGAACTCGACACCTTCGCCAAAGTAGCCCGCATTTTTCCACGACTCCATCGTCGCACTATCGTATGGACCATGTGTGACGCCGCCATCACGGGCGTCCGCCCACCGAAACTCCCACATCGTAGGAGCTCCTTCACTGGGCCCTGAGTCCCCAGGCGACGGGTCAACCCAGTCCTCCCCGGTTTCACGGCGGTATTGCCTAGTGAGCATCTCGCGTTCAGTGTCGTAGATATCCGCCTGCCCTCTCGTCATGAGAATATCGGCTGCGCCTGTGATAGCATCAATTGCTTGCTTTCTAGCCGTTTCCTTGGGATCCTCTTCGGCCATCTCGGTGTCCTCGTTTGCAATTTCTTGCTTTTTCCGATTCTTGTTGCGATTCGCCTGCCATTTAGGTTTCTTTGGAGCTCCCTTGCCAATCCTTGCCAGCGCTTCCAGGATCGTCTCGCCTCGATCGAGGTGTGAGATAATGGTCTTCAGGGCGTCTGATGTCAATACACTGTCATCTTGCCTATCTTTTTCCTTTCTCTCCTCCTCTCGCTTCTCTGCAGCCTCTTTGGCGCGACGGATATCTTTCTTTGACACGCCTTCTAACCAGCTGTCATAGACCGCATCCGGATCTGCTGCTTTCCTGATGTAGTTGCCTTGATCGTCGAATCTGCCCTCCTCTTGTTCGGTGCGCATGTTGAACGCGTCCAGTACGGGCGCATGCTTTTTCTTTGCGCCAGCGCCAAGCTCCTCATCCAGTTCCTCATCCAGTTTTGCGCGCTCCTCATCTCCAACCTCGCTTTCGCTCTCGTCTTCTTCGTTGTCGACCTCGTCAGCGCCTTTGCTGAAATCTGCCTGTACAGTGCCTCCGCCTTTGGATGACGCGACTTGGCCCTCGATTTCGTCGTCTCGTAGGAATCGCACCGTTTTCTTGTTCTTGCGCATGGCCTCATCGGCGTCGACTTCTTCCGCGCCAAAATCCTCCTGCAACTCGGCAAACATATCGTCATCTTCCGCATCGTGCTTCTCTTTGTTTGCTTTCGATTTGGCCTCGATGCGCGCCGAAAATCCTTCGTTTTCACTGTCCGAGTCGTAACCGTCAAGGTTGACAGCTTTGCGGCGAACTTGTTGTCCACGGCGTCCTATTTCGTCTGCGTCCAGAACTGCATCGTCTTCGAGCGCATCGGGGGCAAGAGCGGAGGGATTTCGTAAGTCGAAGCGGGGCTTCTTGGAGGCACCGTTCACGTCGTCATCTTCGTGATGGTGGGTGCGGGTGAAGTCTTCACCCGCTCGCTTGGGGCGTGGCTGGGAGGCGGACATGGAGTTGCGTAGTAGATATGAGGTGTCTCTTGGATTCTACGGATCCTTCCGGGACATATGCATCGAAGGTCGTAGTAATTATTGGCTCTGGAGAAGTCAAAATGAAGAATTCCAGCAGAGTGGTTGCGCGGAGCAAATGGAGCTGTCTGGGGTCGGGTCGGAAAATCATCGCGGCGGCGTTTGCGTCACTGCGATCTGATCGCTCCGTTCGTTCCTGACCTTCACCCGAACAGCTCTCCCTGCTAGCTTCTTCCCTGCTTTCTCGCCACCACAGCGGATTGCATCCTATTTGCTACTGACTACAGCTAAGATTGTAGCGAAAACTGGTGATATCAGTTGATCCTCATCTGAAGACCTATAGGGTACCACTTTAGCTCGGATCATGGTGAGTTCCCCGCTTAGGCGCCGTTATGTACTTGGGTGTGTACATGCTGAAACCCGGATGATGATAGTTTCGATCTGGCTATTGGGATGACGATCCCATGAACGGAGTCATGGGTGGCTCTATGTTCCGCCATGGAGCTGCTCGTCGCTTCGATGAATACTATCGCTGCTATCCTGTCGCCATGATGCCCGGCCCGGAGAGAGAGAACGTGAACCACGGCGGCAAGGTCATCATGCCGCCCAGCGCTCTTGACAAGCTCACTCGCCTTCATATCACGTATCCGATGCTGTTCGAGCTTCACAACGGCGCACGAGAAAGGTTGACGCACGCTGGTGTGCTAGAGTTCATTGCGGAAGAGGGGAAGATCTATCTACCTTTCTGGGTAATGTCGTCTTATGATAGGTACTCTGCAGGATACTGACTGGTTGATCTCCCGCAGCTCATGCAAACCCTCCTTCTGGAACCCGGTGACCTCGTACAGGTCAAGTCAACCGATCTCCCACCCGGTCAATTTATCAAGCTGCAAGCTCAATCTACCTCGTTCCTCGATATAAGCGACCCGAAGGCCGTGCTGGAGAATGCTTTCCGTAACTTCTCCTGCCTAACCAAGGGAGATGTGTTCACATTTGCATACAATGATCAAGTTTACGAGATGGCAGTCTTGGAAACCAAGCCATCCACCGACACCAATGCTGTTTCCGTGCTCGAGACAGATCTAGAAGTGGACTTTGCGCCCCCGGTGGGCTATGAGGAGCCTCAACGCCCCAGCGGCACCAGCACTCCTCGTAGTGGAGTGGGCAACAAGCTGCCCTCTGGTGGGCTGCTTCATCCCCATGGAACCATGGCACAGGCGATCAACTACGCTGCTATTGCCCCGGAGTCGACTGATGCCGCGGCTGGTGCCCGGGTGCTCTCGTCAAACTTCCTCACTGGAGGACAGCGTCTGAATGCCAAGAAGGGAAGCAAAACATCCACACCAAAACCGTCTACTCCCACCCCAGGGACGACGAACCCGCAGCATCCCCCTCCTGTCAGAAAGACCAATGGCCCGCAGCCTCTGCGGATAGGCCACAACCAGCTATTCTTTGGATATCCAATCAAGCCAGTTAGGAAGCGCGACGAAAGCGGACAGGTACTCGAGGACAAGCCTCGGTTCCAGGGAGCTGGTCAAACATTACGAGGCAAGAAGAAAGACACAAGTGGCTCGGCAACCCCTACTTAAAATAACACCAGACAAGGCTGGATTAATGAACGCCGATCGGCTATGAAAATATGGATATCCCTTGCAAAGTATAGGGGAAGCAGCCCTTGATCATTCTACCAGGACACGACCGCTGGCTTCCCAGGCACGCTATATTTAAATCATTGGATGGGCTATAGAAGGCAACGCGAAAGCGTAGGACGGGAATTTAGAGCATAGCGGGGACAGGCGTTAACGAGGCTATTTCGATCACATCAGGCTTGATCCACTTGCAATGCCAACACCACTTGATAGGATGTATCTATCTATCTATCTATCCATCGCTAAGCCATGAACTGGCCGTTTCTTGGCGACGGGAGACGGACCTGCAAAGTACCACTAAAGTGACTAAAACGGCACTAGAAGTAGAACAATTAACCGCGAGGCTCGACAGCTTTTTCCCCGGCCGAAGATCGGCAGATTCCCCGGAAATCATCCAGGAACCGAACCAGACAGATGTGAAATGATAAGCAGATCTATTCCATTCCTTTGTATTACGCCCAAATCTACTAAGTCAAATACCTCACCTCACCTCACCTCCAACCCACTCCATACCCTTCCACTTACTACACTCAATCAACCACCATGTCATCCCAACCCACCATGGACATGACCACCCTCCCCAAACCCATAACGCTCTCACCAACAATCCACGCCTACGACCCTCTCACCTTCGAATCCACCAGCACCAGCAATGCACCACAAACAATCATCCTCGCCTACTGGATGAACGCCCCCCAACGGGCCCTCACAAAATACACCACCCAATACCGCACCCTGTACCCTCGCGCCCGCATCCTGACTCTCCAAAGCAGCACGGGTGACTTTATGCGCCTCCCTTCACTACTATCCACCTTCACAAGCACTACTACAGCCGACAACAACAACAAGAATCCTATTCAACCGGCGCTGGACTACCTCCTCCTCCACCACCCACCAACCAACACCCCCAGAGAGAGTGAGAGTGAGAGAATCCACATCCACCTCTTCTCCAACGGCGGCGTTTACACAACCACGACTCTCCTCTCCTCCTACAAATTCACAACAGGATACACCCTCCCCATCACATCGCTGCTCATTGACAGCGCGCCTGGCAAACCATCAATGGTTGGAGCGTTCCGCGCGTTCTCATTCGGTCTTCCCAAGAATGTTATCCTGAAGTGGGTGGGGAGGTTGTTGTTGGGGTGTATGTTGCTGGTGATGTTTGGGATGAGGTGGGTGGTTGGGAGTGAGGATGGGGTGAGTAAGGGGAGACGGTTGCTGAATGATAAGAGTGTTGTGGGGGAGGGGGTGAGACGGTGTTATGTTTATTCGGAGGGGGATGGGTTGGTGGAGTGGAGGGATGTGGAGGAGCATGCGCGGGAGGCGGAGAGGGTATTTGGGGATGATGATGGTGGTGGTTTGGTGAGGAGGGAGAAGTGGGGGAGGGGGAGTGGGCATGTTGAGCATATGAGGGTGGATGGGGGGAGGTATTGGAGGGTTGTTGGGGAGATCATAGAAGATACTATCTAGACGGGGGTTTAGTTAATAAGGTTACGGTGGATGGAGAGGATATTTACTGCATATCTGCAATAAGATTTAGAATAAGTCGACCGACGATCGCCGAGCGCTATGCATGCAATAAGAAGCAAAGAAAAGACACATCCAGAACCGGCTTTTATGTACACACTCCGATGAACCAAATGAAACGCCTAACTTTTTCTTCTTTTTCCACTCATCAATTGTGGTATTTGTTGTGGTGGTTGTTCATTTCCTCTTGATCCATATGTCCCGTCCTATCATCGTTGTCCATCCACTGAGAAGGAATACAAGGAGGGCAGCTTACCGCCCCTTCATCTCAGGAAACTCATCATCAAGCTTCAATCTCGCCGTAACATTCATACTCATCAACTCCTGAATCAGCAGCTTCGCCGCATACGGAATAGCCATCTTCACCACGCTCCGGGACGACTTGCACCGCTGACACCAGTTCAGGTAACCCATGAAACCGCACTGCTCGCAGACATCGATCTCATGACGATCAGAAGAGATCATCAGACGCTCCAGCAGAAGCTGACTAGTACCATACGCGATCAAACAATCACGTTCCATCTCTCCCAGACGCAGACCACCGTCACGGGAACGACCTTCCGTGGGCTGACGGGTAAGGATAGCGCGAGGACCACGAGCACGCGAGTGCATCTTGTCCTGGACCATGTGCTTCAGCTTCTGGTAGTAGATGGGACCCGTGAAGACGTAGAAGGGCAGGGCCTCTCCCGTAATACCCGAGGTGAGGTAGTCCTTTCCACCGTAGCTGAAGCCGTTGTCGATAAGGATCTGGGACATTTCCTGGACGGGACTGCCGCCGAAGCAGGTACCGTAGCCGTGTTGGCCGGCCAGGACGCCGGCTTTGCCGGCGACGAGTTCCAGCATCTTTCCGACTGTCATTCGAGAGGGGAAACCGTGGGGGTTCATGATAATGTCAGGGTTGATGCCGGAGTCGGTGAAGGGCATGTCGGCTTGGTCGGCGATGATACCCACCACACCCTTCTGTCCGTGACGCGAGGAGAACTTGTCGCCGACTTCCGGGCGACGGGTCTGGCGGGTTAGGACCTTGACGAGTTGGTTCTCGTTCTCGGTGACCGAGACCATCACTTTGTCAATGTAGGCGGGGTCTGGGAGCTTGTAGGTCATGGGCGTGGGCATGTAGGAGACGGGCCGGCCGGCGTCGGAGTTGGGGAAGCCTGAGGACATGGACTGGTCGGGCGTAGACTTGTTGATGTAGACTTCGCCGGCGTTGACTTGTTCACCGACAGCGGCGAGACCGTCGCTCTCGAGGAGAGCGTGCTTGCGGATTGGCGCATCGTTCTCGTAGCTTGGTCCGCTCAGTCGGTCCTTGGTGCCGTTGGAGTAACTCTTCAGGTTGGTGACGTATTTCCGGAACACCTGGCAGCGTCCGAAGCCGCGGTCGACTGATCCCTTGTTCAGGACCAAGGCATCCTCAATATCGTAACCAGAGTAACTCATGACGGCGACAATGGCGTTCTGTCCGGCAGGAAGCTGGTCGTATTTGGTCAGCTCAATGGTGCGAGACTTGACCATGGGCTTTTGCGGGTAGACCATGAGGTACAAGATCGAGTCGATACGCAGGAACTGGTTGGAGGCGATCGCACCAATAGCTTGTTTACCCATGGCACATTGGTAGGTGTTACGGGGGGACTGGTTGTGATGAGGGTAGGGAATAAGACCGGCGACTGCACCGAGGACTGTGAAGGGTTCAATCTCCAGATGGGTGGTGGTTTCTGTGATGTCTTTCTCGTAGATGGAGATCAAAGAATCGTTCTCTTCGTTGACATCAAGATACTCAACCAGACCTTGAGCAAGGAAATCATCGAATTGCATTGTACCATTACGCAGCTTCTCGAGGTGCTGGGCATTGACACGAGACTTGCCGTTTTCGACGACGATAAGAGGTCTACAGATTCTTCCATCGTCGGTCGCGACATGGACGGCCCTCTGGTGGTGGTTGATGTAGATACTGACGAACTCAGAAATACGTCCCATCCGACGCAGTCTGCGGAACGCATCAAGGAAGTATTTCGGACGACGTGTGAGTGCAGTGGGTGTTCCGTTGATTGAGATCGTGTAGCAGCCAGGCCCATAGAGCTCTTTACCACCCACAGTCTGAATGTCTTCGGCGCCGAGCATGAAAATCAGGTTCCTAATCGGGCCCTCTTCGTCGTTGGTTGTGATATGGGTCATGAGTGCCAAGTTCTTGACGAGACCACAGGCCTCACCTTCGGGAGTATCGGCCGGACAAAGCATACCAAATTGCGAAGGCTGCAATGCACGAGGACCAGAGACCTTTCTCGTCTTTTCGAACTGACTGCTAATACGGGTCATCATACCCAGAGCCGCAATATAACTCAGTCGACTGAGCACGTGGGTCACACCAGCACGTTCCATGCGGAAACGCTTCAAACTCCAGTTACCCGTCGAGATAGCACGATTCATACCCTGGGTGATATGGTTGCTATGCATGGTAATGACACTGTAAGCATCAAAGGCCTCGGCACGGTTGCGCTTGTTCAGGACTTTGTCGATGTTCATCTTGATGTCGAAGCAGAATTTCTTGAACAAATCTTCAAAGAGCAAAGCCAGCAGTTGACCAGCCAGTTCCAGACGCTTGTTTCCGAGATAATCACGGTCATCAACCAAGCTGGCATCGTTCTTGGCCATAAGCACACGACGCGCCATGTGCGCAACATAGACGGCCTTGGGCCGGAAGTTCATGTTCTTCACCTCGATGTGGGAGATGATGACAGAGGCAATGGCCTCGACAGCTTCCTGAACATGGGTACGGCGGTAAGAAGGCGACTGCTTGCGGTTGATCTTAATCCGAGCACCAATCCAGTCCAGAGCCTGTTGTTGCGTGTAAATACCCAACTTGATCGCCTCCTCGAAGTTGATGGCAAAGTCTTCCTGGTAAACCTTGTCGACACCCGCGACCAGCAGAAGCATCTCCTTGTCTGTGTGAATACCCATCGCCTTCAAAAGAATGACGATGGGAATATCCTCGCTGAGCACGTTGTGCTTCACGTAGAGCTTGTCCTTCTTGAGAACGATGTAACTCTTCGACTTTCTCTCGTTGGAAGAACTGCAACCATATTAACATTATAACCCTCGACGATCAATCACGAAGATCTCTCACCTTGTAACCGACGCCTGGACAATCTCCTTCTTGGGGTCGGTTTCAACAATGATTCTGTTCTTGCTCAACTGTTCCTGGACGAGAATGACTTTCTCCGTTCCGTTCACGATGAAGTAACCACCAGGATCCAAGGGACACTCGTTCAGCACCGTCATCTCCGCCGGCGTCTTGTTTGCCAACACACACTTAGAACTCCGAAGCATAACCGGCATTCTACCAATGGCGACACCCTTCCTCATGACCCTTTGACGGCCACGGACATACTCGAAATCGACCTGAATGGGAGCCGCGTAAGTCGTATCACGCAGGCGACACTCTTGCGGGGACACGGTCGAATAGGTGAAGTCGGCCCGCGCATCCTGCGGTTCGTCGGCACGGCGCGGGAAACCCAGATAGATATTGGTGAACTTGATGTAGAAGGTATGGTCGACATCGCTTCGAATTGTAGAGCTGGACTCGACAATTTTCTTCAATTGGACCTCAACAAGGTAGTTGTATGAGTCAATATGCTGCTTCACCAATCCCTTGACCTTGAGGAAAGCCGGCAGAAGGTTCCATTTGTCTTTCGCGGTGTTGATCGGATCCGTGAGGGACTTGTTGTAGTAGAAAGGCTCCAGAAGCGCATCAAATGGATCGCGATGACGGTATGTAGAATGCGAATGCTCGTGCTCCTCGGTCGACTTCTGCTGCTGTTCCTCCGCACTGGGTGGTGGCGGTTGTTCGGCTCGGGGAGGTTGTGCGGTCTGGGAAGGGCGTCTGCGTTTCGTAGTCTCCGCGGCACCTGGCCTTGAAGATGCTGCACCCTATTTTATCAAAAGCCGTTAGCCTGGGACCCTTCTCTATCGGAAATCGTAAAATACTTGATACTTGCCTCTGAAGGTTGCGCAGATCGCAGGTTCGCCGCAGAGATCGGCGCTCTTCTGCGGGGCGGCATCGCTGTTCAAACGGTGATGATCTCCCCCAAGAGGAACTGAAGACTGCCGTATGCCAAGTGTCAAGGTGTAGGGGAATATCACGGCATTCTGGGGTGACGGGCACAATTTCTTCTTTATCAGCGAGGGGAAATATCCGGGCTAAATTCCAATTCGGCAGAATAATTGCTTAGGTAATGAGCAGCTATCCTGGAACGGTTAGCCTACTGTTTAGCTTACAAATTCATAGGCTAACTGGATTTAGTAGGTATGTATTTCTTATCTTATCGGCTATGGCAGGCTGCACGGTTACGTTTCTGGCATGTGCAGCTAATTAGTGCATGTGCATGACATACATATAATGTTTCTTCCCAATTCTGGTCAATTATCGCTGGGCTGTCTGGATAATAGGTCTGAAGGTCTTCAACAGTGTTTTGGACAGCGGTTTAGATTTGAAAGCCTCCTCAATCTCGTCCAAGGATTGTCCTTTTGTTTCGGGCATGAAGAGGGCGCAGATGAATGCCGTAATTAGGGTGCATCCTCCAAAGAGAAAGTATGCACCAAAGCTGCTCTTTGAAAGTAAAATGGGTGTCGTAAGTGCGACCAGATAGCTGGCGGTCCAGTTGATGCCATGTGCCAGGCTAGTGGCCGATGCGCGAGTCCTTTGTGGTTGTATCTCTGCTGCATAGATCTTAATGCCAACTGCCCGGCTGAGAGAGTATATGACTGCAAAAATATAGATGCAGACAATGACCACCCACCGACCTGCACCAGTTGAGTTGTATACGGCATTCCCTGCGTAGAGGCCCCCTATCAAGAACATTGTGACGACGAGGCCGATGCCATCGTAGATACTGCTGCGTCGTCGGCCCCACCTGTCCGCCCATATGAGCGCCGGAATGGTTACGGCGAAGATAACTATTGCAGAAATACCAGAGGCAAAGAAGCTAGCACCGAAGGAAGCTAGGCCTGCTTTCTCAAAAAGCAATGGGGCATACTTAAAGCAAATGTCAGCAGGAGACGACAATAGGTATAGCCGAAAAACCCACATAGAGTACACCATCAATTCCGCTGAGTTGCTGCATGCCCATGAGAAACACCGCCAAAAAAGTGCGTGTCCGTACATCTTTGGAAAACAGATCGAAAACCTTGTGCTCTACTAATCTGTCTTGACGTTGGGATGCGGACGGATCATGTTTGTCGCTGGAAGCAGGAGGGACGCCCTGAGTCTGCTCAATCTCGGCCTTTTCACGTTCAGCCTGGCTGACACCAAGGTGGTCCCAGACTGCAGTAGCCTCCACTCCGGCCGTGGAGGGTCAACCATTTCGGTGAGGGATATCACCACAGGAGTGAAGCTACAGAGAAGGTAGTAGCCAGACAAGCCAAGATAATGAAAGGCGTGCGCCATGAATAGGAAGACTTCATACGAGAAGTACCGTAGCATGTAAAGAACCCTATCGTCAACCCCAGAGTAACCAGCAACTGGGGCCCGGTCGTCAATGCTCCTCTAACCCTCGGCGGAGAGATTTCGCAAATGTAGCTGCCGATCAATCAAAAAACAAGAAACCAAAGTACCACAGTTCATAGGATAGTCACATACACGACCAGGGTTCCAAGATACAATCCCTCACCTATACCCTTAATGCAACGTCCCACAACAAACATCCCGATATGCACAGCAGCCGCCTCCAAAGTTGCTCCAATCGCAAAGATCAGGGCGCCAATGCTGATGCCCTTTGGCCTTCCCAGTTTGTCAGCTAGATGCCCCGCGAAGAAAGAAGAAAATGCCGCTGGAATAAGGATGGAAGAGACGATCAAGCCATGAACTGTTGATGATTGGCTGCCGAATTGTGAAACGAAGCTGTTCATAACCGTGACAGGCCCAATTATGCCAGTATCCATTCTGGGAATCTTCTGTTAATGTTGTACAAAATGGCTCGCCTTAAGAGAATAGATCCTTACCCAAACAGCAAACCCCCGCATGAGCACAGTATACTGGCCAGAACGTATCTGGGGGGTCTGTGTAATTGTATCATTGGGGCCTAGTGATAGGCGTTGGTTGCTTCTATGAGGTCAATTGACAAATAGCATACAATGCCGTGCAAGAGACGTAAGGTGAGAAGGGAGTGCCAAAGATTGGAAAACATGAAGAATGCCACTAAGATGAACTACAAATAACCACTCGAGTCATGAGTAGTCTGGTTTAACTGATAAAGGAAGTGAGAGTGAGACCCTTTCACAGGCCAGACCCCACGCCGCCCCACCATCGACCCCAGTCTAGACCCCGGATTCGTTCGGCCATCCCATGTCCTGCGTTATTGTTGCTTTCAATGCACATTGTCATGATGGGAAAATGAGAAAAGTACTAGGAGGTGCTAGCCAGTGCTTAGCTTTTCAAAGTAACTTGGGATGAATATCTGTAGCACCTCACAAGGCTGTTTCTAGAGCTCCAAATCCAAAATCCACCTTTCGTTTTTATGATATCCCACATAAGCGACTTCCCGGGACTGTGTTCCGTCGAGATTACAGCCATAGAAAAGGTCATGTTAGATGCATATGTCCCTCGCATCTGCTATGGGCCGACTTTTTGGGTAGATGCAGAATATTAGGAATGTTAACCGATACAACTTAGCGGAGGGAATCGGGAGGGTACGTGCAAATACCATTCCGGGGTGACGAAAGGTGGCATTGAAGTTATAGATCATATGCCCTTCGAACCATGATCTTTCATTGAAAAGACTTTCCTATATCTCAACTACGTCATCTTTCGACTAAAAGGATCAGGGACAGGAACCTCAATCCACAAGTGATATCACAATTCGATGTAGCAGATATTGTTGATTCGTCTATAGATATGCTGAAGCTGATCAATTCCTTCCATGCTAGATAGTAGTAAATGCATATAAGATACTACTGCTGAGGTTTCGAGATGAAGACGAATAACTGAAGTCTTACGCGGCTTAATGCAGAGGCATACTACTAACTACTGACAATCCTGAGTGTATGTGAAGCGTTCAGCATCGGGAGTCTGTTCGAAAAGTTGTACTACCTACACCTCCCAGTGAAACGGCTCTCTGATATCGCTGGTATGTTTCAAGAGGCTTTATTGCAGGGCAGTCTGGAGGCTAGAGGCATCGAAACAGATGATATCAGGCTTTCATGAGGTCCAAGGTTCAAGTGAATAGAGAAATTCTCCGTTCAGGTCACGAGAGGACTTTCTCAAGAAGGGAAACCATTCAGTTTCTGAAAATAGCCCGTGAATCCCAGAGGCTTGAGCACCGCAACTGCAGTGTTTGTAGATTGGGCGGACTCCCAGTCGAAGCGACTGTCATTTGCGGGGTTTAAGGCGAATGCCTGAGGTAGTTCTAATCTTGCCTGGCAACATGCTGCCTTTTCGAATTATTATCAAGCCTGCTTGATGTATCATGTCGAGGCTCTTGGATAATGTGTAGCCAGTCAGCAGATCGAGTGATTTATTTATTGCCCATGCTTTTTCCGTTTGTAACCGGTGGCACTCACGTAGAACGCGCGCGCGGAATATGATAATGTCTGTTCAAGCTGCCAATTAAATAAAATGTCCTCGCCGGATTGGCTGCCTTGATAGCCAAGGTGCCCTACTACCATCCTACATGGTGCCTATTTACATGGTTACCCCGTCTTGTTAATGAGCGAACTCATGGCAAACGAAAGGATGATATGTACTAGCAAGTCTGAATATCTTCCCGCATTTACATTATTCGGTCACCCATGATTCACTCATCATTTTCGATGAGCGACTTCTTTTGATGGCCACGGTGGGCTTTCAGACCCTGTGCAAAATAAGCCATCATTTGGGCAGGCGTTCGTCTAAATTACCGAAAGTGGTCGATTTCGTTTTTCTTTTGCCTCCCTGTAACTGCAATATAGAATAACATGTTAGTATGCCCGAAGGTATCATGCGGCTAATCATTCGGGTTCCATGTTTCCCGATGCCTTATTGTAAACGATGGAGATGTCTGAGTTTAAAGTATGATTAGATTGATGCAGGCTCATCTGTCAAATGAGGACCGAAAGGGTTTGGGACAGATACGGCTGCGTCAGAGAAACATTGCTCACCGGAAGCCTCAGCAGCTGCCGCATGTTATCTGGTGTGTTCAAGGGCAGCAATTTCTACTGTGGTTCCTTTATGGGGATGCAGCGGAAGTTTGAAAGTTGATTGTGCAGTAGTCCCCGCGATTCCTCAGTAAGGATGTCACGACTTTGGGCTCTGCCATTTAAAATTTGGCTACAATGTCAAAACGTGTATGCTGGTCAGGCTGTTTGATGGTATTGTCAGGCTATGGTACGGATGGCTTCATTAACCATAGATCCATCATCCACCCATCATATGGCAAGAGAGACATTAAGGTAATTCTAATAATACCCCAGATTTTCAGAACACAATCATTACGGAACGATGCAAAATGAACTTTTTGGCGAAATTCTAGGGGCGAAGAGCGCGGTTAACGTCAAGTCGGGCAGTCTAGCTAAAGCGTCTTGTTAGTAGTCATCGTTCTCATTCCGGTAATACAAAGCCGCATAGCCTGTAATTTACAGCCCAGTTGATATAGATTATCCGCGCAGCTCGTGCAGCCACCTTGTTGCATACACTGGAGGCAGCTCAAGCATGAAGTAGGTTACCGCTCATCCGAGCGTCATTGATGCCTGAAATATGAATAGCCTGCCAGATACACCTGCAGAATCAGGTGATATATGCGTGAATGCCAAATCCATATTTGACGATTGGTATCTCCTACCCGTTGGTACATTTTTTTTTTAAAAAAAAAAAAAAAAAAGAAGAAGAAGGGTGACAAGGTCCTGTTAGCTTATCAGGCATGACCCCGAGTAGTAGCTATATCAGCTGCATCTAGCCAGGATACTGTCTCCACAGATAGTCGAAGATGCCGGTACACGGAGAATTCTGGCAGACCAACACGTCTGTGCTCTTGTACAACTCAAGTCTGTGTCTGCAGGGAATCGCCATGCTCCAACTGTGGGAGCACGTCAGGTGAATACGTGACCTCCGTGGACTGGTCTTGACAGAACACCATCGAAAATGTCGCGGGAATCCCGGAAATTCCCGCAAGGGATACCAATCATGCGGTGCATTGGGATAATACTCATTTGGTTCTAGCTTCTTCTGTCGTATGGTAACGGACTACCAGCTCTCCCATATGGCTGCAGTAGCTAAAGGCCATACTGTCAGATTGGTTGATAGTCAGGTGCCAGCAAATGACGCCCCAATCAATGACCATACAGTTAGAAAACTGCATCCGCAGCTACTGTTAGAGGTGCTGCTATAATGTGAGGACCGTTTTGAGTACTTCACGACGACCATAAAGATAAAACGGATGAACACTAGAGGGCCGAAATCTTGGCTACATTCATTAGGAGCCATTGTTCTCTTTTCGAAAGCAGGGCTGCAATTTTGGCTGCAATGTCGGCTAACCTCCGTAGTTTGCGGGGTTGGGCAACAACATGTCCAGTCTTCAGGGGATAATTGCCTTTGCCCATTTCGGAGCTGGAGGTATCCGGTACCAAATTGGTTGGAGTAGGTGTATGGAGTACAGCTGTTACTGGCTTCATGGATGCAGACTGCATATTCCAGGCAATTGGAATGGCTCATGAGATTGAAACGTGGGTAGAAGTTGGCGACAGATCAATTCAGTCCTCTGCGGAGCATGTGGGGAGATGATACTTGAGAAGACACTACTGTGTACAAAGTATGTTTTGAGGCGGTGGGCTTTCTCTTGACCGCAATTTTAGAAGCCATTGCCACTTGGCAGTCGAACCTCTCCATCGGAAAGGTTTCCATTCGATGAATTTCAGGCACGGCGATTAGTGGGCAACCACATACAAAGTAGCCAAAGCACAATGCGGAGCGGCGAAACGCCCCTCCAAAGGATGGATCCACCATCAGAAGTAAAAGTACCATATCGGACCATTCACAGCATCACGTGAGATCGACAGTCTTATCAATTCATGGCGTAGACATGCCCAGTGACGTTCATGGTGAGTGGGTGAGTGGTATTGAGTACTAAAGATATGGAGAGTCACACGCAAGCCAGTTCCAGAAGACATGGGCCATGAGCGCAGTAGCTCTTAGCAAGAAGCGCCGGCTCGCTGTTTCATGACCCTCGGACCTATTCCTGCAGCCATCGGACATGGGGGCCATTAGCAGGTATTATCCTGTAGGTACAGTACTTTGTGCAGTGTATTGGATGGAATAATGAGGTGATTTTTACCTTTGGTGGGGGGTAAAATTACCGTTCTCTAACAATCGGTAAACGGAAATGGATGATTGATTATCTAGTATTTCCTTGAGGATCGTGACATGCAGACTAGCAATTTATCTCTTGATCACAAGGTCAACCGCAGTCTTGAATTACTGGCAAAAAAAATGGTATGCTTAATCCGATTTGTATACAATTTTCCTGCCTTTTTAATTCTTCCTACTTAGTCTGTCAACTTTCGTCAGATACCTACCGTACGCGAACATCCCTGCGTTGGCGGTGGCGAACCGATCTGAAACACATCACGCTTAAGATGACCGTCAGACCAACTACTCAGTAGCGCGGAGACTTAGTTCGTCAGTTCAAGGCTAGAGAAGTACTAAACGCTATCATCATTCGGAGCTCCATCCAGGTGTGTCTTGCTTTCTCATGCTCTCCAGCAGACGGAATCATCAACACTGAAACTACCATTAATTCAGAAGGAGGGGTACATTCAGGGTGTTGACAGTGGTTGGTAAGTGGTTCAACAGTGGCTAGCATAAAATCGAACTTCGTCCCTGGATATTGTGGGTACTACTAATGGGCTCATCTCTCATCTGCCGACCTCAGATAGGTCCGTCGTGCTTAGCTTCCGAAGTTGTCTGAAAGATG